CTTTTTTTTTTTTTTTTAATAAGATAACAATATTTTCTTGAAGGTACGAAGGTACAATTATTGAGTCCGAGAAAATTGGACGATTCATCCGAAGGTTTTAACAAATGGAAATTCATGTCCGTGGCTTCCTGGGGCGAAGATCCTCATGGTATTTGGTTCCTACACATATTTGACAAGGTTACATAAATATATATATATATATATTATTTTATTTCAATAATAATAATAATAATAATAATAACATAACTTTATTTGTAACAATTCAATAATATAATAATATTAATTCGTTTTCCTTTTTTTTTTGTTTTTTTTTTTTAATTCAGATTGGTTCAAAAAAATACAACGGTACGATTGGTAAATTCAAATTAATATTACACGGTACAAAATTTCTACCGTATTACAGAAAATATGGTTCAAGAATTTACAGTAATGAATAATTCAACTAACGAAGGAATCATTTGACAAACGTTAATAAAATTATTAATTAATCCTTTGATAATAATTTTATATCTAATAATATGAAGCATCCATGCATATTGATAAAATTAACATTGAAAATAAAATTAATAATTACAAATAAAAGAACAAATTTCAAGCCAATGAACAAGTTCAGAAACATTTAGTTTTAAATCGATAAGCCGCATATATGCGTTCACAGTAGAGAAAATAAGGGTGGGGTGGGGGTGGGGTGGAGGGGTTGGTTTAGAGGGGCATTTAATTTTGAAAATATGATTACAATTTCAAATTGTATTTGATAATATATTGCAAGAATATATATATATACATATGTATACATATGTTCACGAATTAGTGGGTGAAAGTACCACGTGGCTGCGCTGCCGTCGTCGACCCCGACAAATGCAGCTATGGGCTGCTAAGGGGTGAGAGAGAAATAGGGGTTGATTTGGCCAGTAGTAGCATGTTGCCATTCCTAACGTGAACAACGTAGTAGTTCGCGTGTTACCATCAAAAAAGTGTTTCTAAAAATAGAACGTCAACGTAACTCTGGTGCTCGTTTAAGTTGTTTTTTTTTTTTGTCATCTTTATATTCTTTATCCTACTTTCACAACCCTCATTTATCACCCCTATTCTCTCGCAAACAGTTAATTGATAAACATTTGAAATAAATATATTAATTATCGATTATTTTTGTTTGTTTTTTTTTTTTTTTTGAGATGAACGTACTGTTAATTATTGTTTCGATTTCTTCTTTTCAATGAAATTTGGAAAAGATGAATTAATTGTTTATTGTTTTCTTTTTTTTTTTTTATATTTTAATGAGTAAAGTATAGTATTAAATAAAAGAAAAAAAAAGGGGCGTGTAATATTTTGGGTAATAATTTTTTACATTGTTTTATTTTTTATTGGTTATATTTAATTGAATTTTATTTGGTTATGTTTAATTATTTGGGTATTAAAATTTATTTCAATGTTATTTAATAAAATTATTTATTTAATATATTTATATATAAATAATTTATATATATTTATTATAATAAAATAATATTATAAAATTTATATATATATATATATATAATTAAAAATAAAAATAAAATAAAAGAAAAAAATATATATATATATATAGATATATTTAATTAAATATAAATTATTTATATATAAATATATTTATATAAATTATAATTTAATTTATAATATTATATTATTATAATTTATATATTTATTTATAAAAGTAATATATTATAAATTTATTAATTTATTAAATAATAAATTTGTTAAGTTTAAATATTAAAAAAAAAAAACTTTCATCCCTTTTTTATTTTATTGTATTTTATTTTATTTTATTTTATTTGTGGTATCTTCTTTTGAGTGAAAGAAAATTTTTACTGTTAACAATATTATTTTTGTTCTTTTGGTTATGTTTTATTTATTTATTTATTTGTTATTTCCTATTTTTATATTCAACAATATTCAATATCTCTTCTTTTCTTTGATTTAAATTTTTTGTTTCTTTTATGAATCTTTTTTGAATCTTTTTTTTCTTCTTTTTCTGCTATTTGCTTTTCATCATTTTCTTTCTTCTTGTTATTTCTTTTTATTTCCTTTTTTATTCGTTTTTTTTTCGTTTTCTTAGGAAATAATATAAGCATCGTGTATATTTTACGAACAGGAAAAAATACACCCGGTTTGTCGTATCACGGTATTTTATTCTCCCGCGTGTATATGTGGGTGTATATATAAATATATATATATGTGTATGTATAGTTGTAAAAGGGGTTGCTGTGTATAACCCTGTATATATACATTGGAGTGTTGTTTTCATTGTACGCTGTTATATCCGTTCGTAATGTAGAAAAGAAAGGGGATGAACGGGGGTGCAACAGAAATGGAAAATATTTTTTCTTTATACGTTGGTATAGAAAATCATCTCACGTTTAACCACCACCATAATACGAGACTAATGAGATAAATACTATTTCTCTATGGTATTAGAAGAAATATATTTTGAACTTAAGGCAATTTGTTCTTTTTTTTTATTTTTATTTTTATTTTTAGTTTTTATTGAAGACTTAACAATTTTCTGTTTTTTTTTTTTATATTTTAACTACATTGAAGATCATTTTTATTTTTAGATATTTACAATATTTTTCAATCTTAAATTAAGTAGAAATATTTTTATTACAAATGTGATTCAATTTTTTTGAAAAAAGTTTCTTTTATTTAATATTTTAGTAATTTTAATTTTTTTATTTCATAGTTTTATTTTTTTTTTTCATTGAATAAATCTAACTTTACAATCAATTATATATATATATATATACAATTGCAATATTTTTTTATTTATTTTAGAAACAAGATAAACAAAAAATATTAAAACAAATATAACAAAAAAAAATTTATAATTAAGAATATAATAAAAATAAAAATTTAAAATGATACAAATATATAAAAAAAAAAAGAATACAAAAATAATTCTTCAAATTTGAAATAAAAAGAGAAGAACAAAACAAAATAGTAATAATAATAATAATAATAATAATAATAATAATTTACTGATGTCTAATATAAAAGTAGGTCGAGTAGCGTTTTGTAGAAGCAAACTTTCTTTTATTTCTTTTTCTTTTTTTTTTTTTCTTATCCACCACCACTATCACCCTCTCCACCCCCTTTCTTAGTTCCAGTTTCTAACGTGACGAGAAGTTTCGTCATTCCGTGTCAGGCATAGTAATGCGTTTTTCATACGATCTACGTTTACTTTTCTACTACACCCCTACCATCCACAACTACTACTACCACCACCACCACCACTACTACCCTTATTTCATTCTACCCTTCTCTTTTCTGTCCTCTCTTTCTGTCATCAATTCAAAGCAATTTATGGCACCCTGTTTCTTTCAGGATTACCATTCGTTTTATTTTATTTTATTTTTTTTTTTCATCTATTCATTAGCTCATATTTATTCCAATAATATGATACGAAACTTTTTAACATGTTTTTTTTTTATTTATTTATACAGAACGATGCAATATATATTTTTTCCTACGTTTAAATAAATAATAATAAACGCGTAATAATTTTTTATACTATTATTTGTTTTGTTTTTTATTTAAAATATGTAACTATTAGGTCGAGTCATAAGTAACTTCCGATGCGTCTATGTAGAATCTATTTTTCGTATTTACCTATTATAAGTCATTGAAACAAACGGATTTTTGATGTTACTGTATAGATGAGAATTCAGTTAGTCTTCTGTCAACTTTTTGAAGTAAAAACTTCTTTAGAATGGGTGTGATTTGAAAAAATGTAACGGAGCGGTAGGCGGCTATGTAACGGAGCGGTGGGAGGTAATGAAACGGTCGCGATACTAAATAAGAAGAGAATACAATTATCCTTACACCAGATAYTTTRTATTCGTCTCATTCTCTCGAAACTTAGTTTTTGAAGATTTCACTTCTAACACGTGTGATYTGCACACATGTTTCTTTATGTAGTCAATGTTACATTTAAMCGTTTTTCTTAAYCACTGAAATGGATAGTAAAAAGTGCATATTCGACATGCAATGTTTTAGGAATTGAAACAAGGCAATATCACTAAGGTGGCAACTGAAAAAATATACAGCGTATACGGTGCAGGACTGATAACTGATAGGGTAGTCAGAAATTGGTTTATAAAATTCCGTTCTGGAGATACGATCTTAAAAGACGAACCGAGTGTGGGACGTATTTCCAACTTTAACGAACCTTTTAAAGGTAATATTGAAGCAAAATTCAATAGATACGTCCAACAAATACAAAGAAGGCAAAAAAAAACACCATGAAAAGTGTCGTGCACTTATTAGTGGCAGAAACGTTATTCTTTGTCTCATAAAAACGGAAKTTATTTATGACTCGACCTAATATATACATGACATTTATTTTATCATGGTATAATATACTCGTATATTTATTAATTATAACATAAAAATAATAAATATMAAATTTATACTAGGTGGTAAAATATTTTTCTATTCTATCCTATTTGTAATAATTTGCATAATATGAATATTTATATTTTGCAATTAGAAACGAGTGATACTTACGTTAAACATCGTTTATAAAATTGTTCAAATAAATTCAAATTCGTGTGAAAGTTTTATGTGATAATATTTCGATAAAAAGTGGACATTATTTTGTTTATAAAATACAAATTTTGTTTCATTCATATGTATGCATAAGTATCCTTTTAAACGTTTACGGTTTCATTTTAATTTCATTTCATTTCATTTCATTTAACTTCATTTCATTTCATTTCACTTCATTTTGTATAATGACTGGTGAAAATCTTTTCGCATTCAAATATAATTTGCTTGAATACTCTTAACGATAATTATTATTACGAAAAAAAGAAAGAAAAAAAAAGAAAAGGATATGATGGATAAAGGAAATGCATCTAAGGGGAAAATTCCGACATCTTTGAACATCAACGAAACGATTGAGAATGAAATTTTTAACGAAAGAATGGCGAGAAGTAAGTTATTTGTAAAAAAAAAAAAAAAATACAATGGGATCTCTAGCATTTGAATACGCTATCTGGTGGCTAAATTCAAAATTAGAGTAGATAGGTCGAATTGCTAAACCACGCCCCTGCCAGAGATCCCTCTGGATCTCTAGCACTTGAATACGCTATCTGGTGACTAAATTCAAAATTAGAGTAGATAGGTCGAACTGCTGCGTCACGTTGGATCTCTAATACTTGAATACGCTATCTGGTGGTTAAATTCGAATTTAGAGTAGATAGATCAAACTGCTACGCCACGCCCCCTCCCCTGCCAGAGATCCCAACATGAATGTGATCTTACTTTTGTTTCTTTTACAATTCAAAAATTAACTTTCTTTTTGTTTGATTTTGATAATCAAATCAACAAGTACTCAAGAACGATTTGTTATTGCACGAGGCTGTAATAAAAAACGAAGCTGAAGCAGTTGCTAAAGTATTGAAAGAAGAAGACGTTGACGTTGATTCGAGAAATAACGTAAGACATCGAGAGAAAAAAAAAAACATCGAAATATTAACACATTGACTGCTAAAGGCGTATATATACGCTCTCACAAATCCATCGATATATACGAAAGGCGTAAATATACGGCCTCTGTATTTTTTTTTACTATAACACCTTTGACATGGAATTTATTGTGATATGTAACATAGCAATTAAATATTGACAATTATTTCAATATCGTTTAATTAATTGCTTTCATATTTGACTGCTCTTTTACATATATACAGTCTCGTATAATCGCTTCGTAACTTTGATTTCTGTAAATTTGTTCCTTTGCTGCATATGTGTAAGTATTTCTTTATTTCATTTTGTGATTAGTTTTTGAATTGATCCATTCGAATAAAAATAAATATTAAAATTGATATTTTTGGGTTTTTATTTGTCGTCATTATTATCTGTTTTGGTCCAGTAACCAGTGGCAAAACTGTCGCAGCTACTGACATGCGAAAATTGCGCCATTTCATATTAATGGATTCGTTTGAGAGCGCATCGCAGTCAAAGGGTTAATATAAGTATCTATGAAAATAAAAAAAAAATTCAATTTTCAATAACTGTCTCTTTCTTTTTTTTCCTTTTTTTTTTTTTTCCTTTTAATAATAAATTCATAGTATGGTCGTGCACCAATTCACTGGGCTGCTTCCAAAGGGAATACGGAAATCATTGAGATGTTGATCAAAGCAAAATGTGACATCGAAGTTAAAGATAAGGTTAATAATTAATATTCCTGTTATTTCATTAAAAAAAAAAGTTGATAATTATATTTTTATTAATTTTTCGAACAACCCCCGCCACCTTTTCATTTCTCTTATTTCAGTTTGGTATGCGACCATTGCATATGGCTGCTTGGTACGGACACGAGGATGCTGTTAAAATTTTAATTAACGCCGGTGCTAATGTTTTTGCAGTTAATAAGGTAGATAATAAACAAATTAACATATTTTAATAATTTAATTATTTATTATTCATATTTATTTAATTATTATTTAATTTATGAAAACGTTTTCTTTATCGACTGAGTTATGGTAATAGTTTTGTCTTGTGTGTGTGTGTGTGTGTGTAAAAATTAATAAATTACAGTCAAAATAAAAGTATAAATTTTTATTTACAATTTATTTTTATTAATTATCGATTTAATTTATTCAAAGTTATATTTTTATTTCTATGTGTGTGCGTGTGTACAAATAAACGAAAAATTTGGTAATTAATTAAAAATTTAATTATTAAAAAATTTGTTAAATATTCTCTTTTCGAGATACAATCAAAATAAAAATTTATATCATCTTTTGTGATTAACAATTTATTTCTATAGAATAATTGATTAATTTTATCATTGAGTTTTGTTTTTCATTTTCTTTTTGTTATATTTCGTTTAATTATTGTCCGTTTTTCTTCATAAATGTTTTCGTATGATAATAATAGGAGAAAGAAAGATGCATATATCTTTCTATCGCAGAAACAGTATACTTTACTGATGTGTGGTGCACGTGGGAATAATGTCAACGTTGTAAAATATCTCGCGGAAGCTGTTGAATCGTTGAACGGAGATGCAACGGATTACACTGGTGCAACTGCATTACATCATGCAGCTGTCGCAGGACATTCTGGTGTAATATCAGCGATATGCAACATTCCAAAAACTGAATTGAATGCAACTGATCAAGTAAGCCTCACTCTATTCCTATTTTGATATTAATTATTATCATCATCAGCACAAGACTCGGTCTGCGGCAGGTGCGGCGAAGGGGTGGATACCCCCCTCCATCTTATAACTCAATGCGTTGAGCTTGCGGACGTCAGAAATGATGTTCTTGGGACCGACGCCAACAACTTCGACCTAGTGGGCTCAGGGGCGGCCAGACTGCTGCGCTTTGCAAGGGAGTCGGGGCTGCCCGCGGGACCGCTACGGTCATAGGTTTTTCCCCGCAAGGGGCCCGGGCACAATAGTCCAGAGACTGAGCGCCCGGGTAAACAAATCAGAAATATTATTATTATTACTATTATTAACTGACATTAGGAACTCGAAAATTCATTGCCACTAATACCAAATCCCAGCGTTCGTACAAATTCCAGTACCAATCCCAATGTTCCCGTTCCTGAGCATGACCCCGTCCATTCGCGGTCTTCGTATCCTATTTCTTTCTGGTCCCTTCTAATATTATCCTCCCATCTACATCTCGGTCTACCCAGTGGTCTTTTCCCATTTGATATACCGACCAATATTTTGTGCGCCGTCCGATCCTCCCCCATACACCGCGCCACGTGACCAGCCCATCTTAATCGGCGTGATTTTACGACGTTGATAATGTCCGGTTTAAACGACCATCTTTACCTTTCTGCAATTCTTTGACAGCGAATTCCAGTACTAAATTGAACAAAAGGGATGACAATGCGTTGCCCTGTTTTAAACCGTTGTGGATATTAAAATCTTCCGACATTTGGTTACCTAACCTCACTTTACCCCTAGTTTCCTTTAGGCAAAGTTGAACAAGGTTGACCAATTTTCTTCGTATTCCCTGTCGTATTAGAATTTCGAACATTTTTTCTCTCGTTTTACCGAATCGTACGCTTTTTGAAAATCTAATCTTTGTAATATTAAATATAAAAATGTAATAATTAATTCAAAAATAAATATATTAATAATTTATCAAAAAAAAAAAAATTATAAATATAAATTAATAAATTAAAAAAAATTATTATATATATATTATATTTTTAAAAAGTAATTTTGATTGAATAACTTATATTAAATAATTAATATAATAATATTTAAAATTAATTATTTAAAATATAAAAAAAAATAAATTAATATTAAAAAATATTATATTATATTATATTTTATTTATATAGAAAAATTTATTATTAACAAAATTAATATTTTATTAATTTTCCAATAGAAAATAATAAAATCAAAATTAGTATAAAAATTCATTTACAAAAAAATATAAATTAAATTAAATAATCTAATTTTTGATTATTATTAATTTTCAAGTAAAATAAAATTATTATTAAATTAAATAGTGTTGAATTTGTAACCTAATGTTTACTACTTTGATTTATTTGATTAGTATACTTTAACTAGGTCAGAATGAACTCTTATCCTATTTCACACTCACAGAAATAGTTCATTTCTCTTTTCATTTTTTTTTTTAATTCTTTTTTGCATAGATTGTAGAACATCGTTAACTAGGAAATAACTTTTATCTCCCATGAGTCTAGTTTCATATATATTATAGTACATGCTCTTATGTGTGTGTGTGTGTGTATATATCTACTACGTTATACGTAATTCAATCCTGAGTTTAATTTATAGCTACTCGATGTACATAAGTACAAGCATACTAATTGAATAACATGGAATAATTCAATACGATACGTATCGATACATTATTATTAACAGTGTGTTAGTGTTTAATTAGGTTTTAACAAAATTATTATACTTTATTTTATTTCATTTTAATAGAAATACTTTTAAGTAAGTTTAATGAAATTAAATGTTACATCTTTGTAGAGTAAATGTTTAATAATTTTTGTAGATATTATTAGATTTATTTGCAATTTTTTTTTTTTTAATATAGGATCTCAATAGTTGGGAATTATAGTAATTGCAATATTAGTTTTAGAATTTGAAGATAATATATTTAATTGTAATTTTCAAAGTCTTGATATTGAAGTTTGAATATTTTTGTGATCCTGTTTCACAGTACACCTTTCCATTAAATAATTAATAGCATCTATAAATATTGTTTGATTTACTTGACATTTTGTATGCATGATCTCAATAGTTGGGAATTATAGTAATTGCAATAATATTTTTAGAATTTAAATATAATGTATATAATTTTAATTTTGAAAGAGTCTTGATATTGAACTTGCAACGCTTTCGTGACCCTGTTTCAATAAACTTTTGCAATGAATAATTAATAACTTCCATAGATAATATCCAATCCACTTGAAATTTAGTACACATAATCTCAATAGTTGTGTCTTATAATAGTTTCAATATTATTTATAGAATTTCAATTTAACATACACAATTTGAATTTTGAAAGTCTCAATACACTAAACTTTCGTACACTTTCGTGACCCTGTTTTCCAGTAAACTTTTGCAATGAATAATTCATAACTTCTATAAATATTATCAGATTTATTTGAAATTTTGTATACGTGATCTTAATAGTTGTATCTTAAAATAATTGCAATATCATTTTCAGAATTTAAATCTAACATATAAATATAATTTTATTCTGTAAGTCTTGATATTTAACTTTCGTATACCTTCGTGACCCTGTTCCAGTAAACTTTTGCAATGAATAATAAATAACTTCTATAAATATTATCCAATCCACTTGAAATTTAGTATACATAATCACAATAGTTGTATCTCAGAATAATTGCAATATCATTTTCAGAATTTAAATCTAACATAGATAATTTTATTCTGCAAAGTCTTAATACTGAACTTTCATGACCCTGTTCTAGTACACCTTTGCAATGAATAATTAATAACTTCTATAAATATTATCCAATCTACTTGAAATTTAGTAAACATAATCTCAATAGTTGTATCTTATAATAGTTTCAATATTATTTATAGAATTTCAATTTAACATATACAATTTTAATTTTGAAAGTCTCAATACACTAAACTTTCGTACACTCTCGTGACCCTGTCCCAGTACACCTTTGCAATAAATAATTAATAACTTTTATAAATAATATCCAATCTACTTGAAATTTAGTATAAATGATCTTAATAGTTGAATCTTACAATAGTTTCAATAATAATTTCGAAATTAAAATCTAACATGTATAATTTGAATTTTGAAAGTCTCAATACTCTAAACTATCGTCTACTTTTGCCAGTTACTGTATAAACTAGAACAAATAAATAATTATTATAAATAATGACTTCAAATTTAGAATTCCTTATGACTTTTTGTAAATAAAAGAAGAGTTTTTGTTCTTTTTCAAATACATCTTATTATTTTCTTGTAAAAAATAAATGGATGATAAAAGTTTCCTTTTCCTTTTTTTTTTATAGAAAGGACAAACACCGATGCATTGCGCTTGCACCGAGGAAAATTTAGAAGCTGTAAAAGCTTTGATTGAATTAGGAGCAAACGTAAATGCACAAGACAATGATGGAAATACACCACTACACGTAGCAACTCGAATGAGACAGATCGAAATGGTTCAGCTTTTATTGAAAGTTGGTGCAAACATCGACTTGACCGATCAGGTATAATCAATAATTGATCTTACGTTTAATTATTCAGGTAAAATGTGAAAATACACCTTCAAATCGATTCAACAACTTTATTTGTTACTTTATTACTTTTTTTTTTTTTTCGAAGTTAGAAAATGTACTACGAAATGTAAATGTTTCAAAAGAAATTTTCAAAATTTGTCTTGAATTTTAATTCTAATTTTTTTTTTTTTTCATTAGTTTCTCAAAAGTATTTGTTTGTTTTTTTTTTAAGTTAATAAATATAGAAGATTTATTTTTATAAATAAATCTTGTAATACGAACTTTTGTGTATATCAAAATTTTTTACAATTTATTTTTACAATTTTTCTGTGTGTGTGTGTGTGTTTTTAATTTATTTCTAATCATTTCTATAAGTTTTATAACAAATTTAATTAATTAAATATTGCAAATTTATTTTTACATTTTTTTTGTGTTTTTTAAATTTATTTTTATTAATTTCTATAGGTTTTATAACAAATTTAATTAATTAAATATTGTAAATTTATTTTAACATTTTTTTTTGTGTTTTTTAAATTAATTTTTAATCATTTCTATAGGTTTTATAACAAATTTAATTAATTAAATATTGTAAATTTATTTTAACATTTTTTTGGTATTTTTTAAATTAATTTTTAATCATTTCTATATGTTTTATAACAAATTTAATTAAATAAATATTGCAAATAAATTTTTATATTCTCGTAATACGAATTTTTGTATATCTCAACACTTCTAATATATTTATTTTACTTTATTTTATTTTTAAATTAATTTTTAATCATTTCTATCGATTTTATAACAAATTTAATTAAATAAATATAACAAATTAATTTTTATATTCTCGTAATACGAATTGTTGTACATTTCAACACTTCTAATTTTTTTTTTTTTTTAATATTTTGTTTCCTACGTTTAAATTGATTTTCAATCATTGCTATCGGTTTTTAATATAATTTGTTTTCGTACTTTAAAAAATTGTAAAAACAAATAGTTATCTAAATTGAAAAGATGATTGATAAAAATGTTAGAGAACACGGTATCATGATAAAACTTCTTAGATGGGTTTCACTCCGCTTCACCTAGCAGCGAATCATGGTTGCAAAGGTATCTTGGAATTACTTATACAAAATGGTGCAGCATTGAACAAAAAGTGCAAGGTAAGATCACATAAATAAATAAATAAAAAAAAAATATATATATATTATCAACAATTTAAAGATTAATAATAATTAATAAAATTATTTGACAAATATTTTCAAACTTTTATTTTATAATCTGATAAACAATTACAAGACACCCTGTATAACATGATAAAATATAATTCTATATAATTACTTGCACGTTATTATTTATAATATTTTTTATATAAATAGGATGGAAATACTGCATTACACTTGGCATGTCAAAATAACGAAGTGGAAACTGTAGAAATATTAATAAACAAAGGTGTTGATATTAATTGTTTAAACTTGGTAAGTGATCAAAGATTAATTGTATTTTATTTTAATTTAATTTAATTAATACGAGTATCACACTTTATCGTGTAAAACAAAGTGAAATGAAAATATCTGGACACCCTATATTTTCCAATATTATTTATTTAAACATTTATTTGATTTATTTTATTTATAGAGATATCAATCATCGATACACATTGCAGCAGAAAAGGGACACACAGAGATATGCGAACTTTTATTAGCATCCGGTGCAAATATTGAACAAAAAGAACAGGTATACTAATAATAATAATAATAATAATTAATGTCCTCATTTCTTTTTATTATTTTTTATAATTTTGTTCTTGATTTGACTCATTTTTTATTTATATTATAACCTACAATCTTTTATTCAACTATTATACCCATTTCTTTCTATTTCTTTTTATAATTTAGTTGTTGATTTGACTCAATTTTTCTTTTATATCATAACCAATTTTTTTATAATTTTGTTGTTTATTTGACTCATTTTTTTATATCATAACCTATAATCTCTCATTCAATTATTATACCCATTTTTTCTATTTTTTTTTTTTTATAATTTAGTTGTTAATTTGACTCAATTTTTCTTTTATATCATAACCAAATTTGTTATAATTTTGTTGTTTATTTGACTCATTTTTGATTTATATTATAATCTACAATCTTTTATTCAACTATTATACCCATTTTTATTTTTTTATATAATTTAGTTGCTAATTTGAATCATTTTTTTTCTTATATCATAACCAAATTTGTTATAATTTTGTTCTTGATTTGACACATTTTTGATTTATATTATAACCTACAATCTTTTATTCAACTATTATAACTATTTTTATTTTTTTTTATAATTTAGTTGCTAATTTGACTCATTTTTTTCTTATATCATAACCTATAATTTTTCATTCAAATATTGTACAAAAAGAAAAGGTACATTAATAATAATAATAATAATTGATTTACCTATTTCTTTTAATTTTTTTTTTTAATAATTTAGTTGCTGATTTGACTCATTTTTTTGAAATCATAACCTATGATCTTTCAGAATGGTAGAACACCACTTTACGTAGCAGCAAGGGGTAGTTTTACAGCAATAGTTGATATGATTATTAAAACTGCACGATTGGATTATCCAACACCAGTGAGTTTTATTCAATTATGTTAATATTTAATTAATCATCGATATTATTATAAATAAATTCTTTCTTATTAAATTTTTAGGAAAATTCAGATTCGGATAAAGAAGTTCGTGAATTAACACCAGCAAGAAGACGTTGGAGGGAAGATACTACTCGTGGTGTTTGTGCAGAAAATATAAATAATGGTAATGGTGATGGTAATGGTGGTGGTGGTGGTGCACTTACCGAAACGATTAGATCAATTTTATGGAAGTTGGCGTATAAACAATTGGGACCAACAGATTGGAAGAAAATGGCCTTACATTGGGCTTTCAGTGGTGAACAAATTAGAGCTATTGAACATCAGTATACTGGTATTATTTTTGTTATTTGTTAAATTAAATTAATCTAATGTTTAATCTCTTAAATAATATTTTAAATGTTTTTACTATACTATTATAATACTATACTAATGTTAATTATACTATAGTATTGGGTTAGCAAGTAAAAGATTGCGGATTTTGCCGATAGGTGGCTTTTTATAATCAGTAGTGATTTAGGTTAGTTGCCAACCCAATATATAGTATTTATTTAGTATATTATTATATAATATTGCAATTATAGTTAATTAGAGTAAAAACTAATTATTTATTATATTAATTATTACAAAATTAGTGAATAATAAAATAGTAATAATAATAATATATCATAATATACCATTAATAATTATAGTAATATTTTATTATATAATATAATATATAATAAATAATTATTATAATATACTATACTAAAATTATATTATTACAGTATACTATATACTATAGTATAGTAGTATTGGGATCTCTAGCACTTGAATACGCTATCTGGTGGCTAAATTCAAAATTAGAGTAGATAGGTCGAATTGCTATGCCACGATCATGCCAGAAATCCCAATATTAAATTAATAATAATAATACATTATTATATACAGGGTGTACTTATTATAATATGGTAACCAAAATTAATGAAATATTAAACAATAATAATTGAATTAATTAATAATTAAGAACGGTTTAGCAAAAGACGATAAAGTTGATGTTTTAGGTTCATCCAGTTACAAGGAACATGGATTTAGGATGTTACTGATTTGGGCCTCAGGATTAAATTCGGAAACATCATTGGTCAAAGAATTATGCAAAACATTACGAACAATTAACAAGAAGAGTCTTGCTGGTAATTAAAAGTATTTTTTTATTTTATTATATATTGTTTTTTGTGTGTGTGTTTACAATTACATAGAATCAATAATAATAATAATAATAAGAAGAAGAGGAGGTTATGTTAACTTTATTTTTTTTGATTTTAGATTCTATTCAAAAGCAAACGGATTTGGAAAATGATGATAAATTGAATGCGAATAAACAAAGTTGTAACAAATGTTTAATCTCATGAAGATTGGTGTTCTTGCTTTTTGTTGACAAATTGAATTTTGATAATTAAACGCGATTCGAACATTTTTACTCGTCCATTTAATTAACAAATAATGTGTTGTTAAATTTTGGGGTTTTTTTTTTTTTTTTTTTTACAAAAATTTATTCATCGATAATAAAGTAAGGGCCTTTTTTTAAAAAAATTATTATAATAATTATATGTAAATTAAATGAAAAAAAAAAAAAATTTATTATTAAATTTAAATGAATGAAACAAAATCGCGAGTGGAGATTATCAAAGAATTTTCTATCATACGATGATAATTATTAATAAATTAATTAACATGATTTTTATTTCGAAACAAAATATAAACAATTTTAATAACTAAAGTATATAAAAAAAAAATACTTACCATTGAAATAATCTTCTTCCCTTTTTTTTTGTCTTCTCCATTCATTCGTTTCTTTGATATTCTTCACAAAATTAACATCGCAAAATTTACATATCTATATATCTATATGTATATATATATATATGTGATACATAATAATAATATTAATAATAATATACATTATATTGTAAAAATAAAATCACTTATAATTAATCAAGTGATTCCCACAACGAAAATGAACTATGATGAACTATATCGTTAAAAATGGGAATAATGATTTAAAAAAAAAAAAGGGACAATTTACTGTATAAATAAAAACAAAATGGACAACGAGATGATAAAAACAGAACAAAACAAAACAAAACAAAACAAAAAAAAAAAGCAAATTCGAAAAAGAAATGAAATTTTGGTGTTTCTATTAAAAATGTGAACGTTTATTATTATATTATATATTCATCAAGTGGAATATATTTATACCTGTATATTTATATATATA